GCAGGAGGGGGAGACCCTCTATGAGGTGGATTGATTCAGTGACTGGGGTACTCGGGATGGGTGTGTCAGAGGCAATGAGATTGGCACAGGATAGAGCAGGGTTTAGGGCTGTTATACATAGGGTCACTATGAGTCGCAAGCGACTCGACGGCACATAACAACAACAACAATCAGAAGAATAAAGAACCGTTGAAGAACTTTGATCAGGCTTCTGCAGTGTAGATTATTGGATGCTGTAAGGGGGGGAAGAAAGAAAAACTATCAAAGGCTAAGAGAAAGACATTCTATTTTTTAATTAAGAGAGACCACAGGTAATCTGAAATGGTGAGAATAAAAGACCCGATGAATAAAGTTGAGAACTGAGCGATGATAAGGGGAAGAAAAACTAAAATAAACAAGTATAGTCTTACTCTTTCAGGCTACAGGTTTGGCAGTGCACCATATTTTATCAGATTAGTAGTGTACAGTGGAAATGCCAGCATATGAAAATTGCTGTTATCCTTGGTGTCCTAAACACAGTAAACTTTCAAAGTCCACAGGACTGATCAGAACCACTCTTTATGAATAATGCAGTATGCTTGTTTCCAAGAAGAAAAATGAACTGCTTTGTCTTGTCCTTGACCTATACTGCTTGCTGTTTCTCTTCCGTACCTGATCAGGCACAACGAAAGCACTATTATCTAGCAAGTGGAAATGTGCAATTGAGAAATGGAAATGCCTTCCTAAAATTCCTTGGTTATGGGGTAAAATTACAATATTAGGGCAAAGACAATTCTGTGTTTAACTGAAAATTCATATCCTTACCAGACATGAGCTTTTACCCTTAATCCTACTAGATAAAGACTCTCAATAATGACCTAAAGCACAGATAGTAGATCATACCTGACTTTAGGAGTTCCAGTTGCTGGAACATTGGTTGTTTGACCTTGAATGAGTCTCTAGAAGTAGTAATTCTTACACCATAGAGACTGCAACAATTTTGATGTTAATAACTGATAAGATTTTAGACCTTGAGAATAAGACACTTTATAAATGCTTTTCATTACCTTGTAACTTACCTATGATTTATTAAAATAGCCTGCTAACTAAATTGAGTTTCCAAGGGATAAATAACTTTCCTGGGAATTTTCTGATTGTGTTAAACAACCCGGAGCTCAAACTTCCACATGATACTGATGAGTCTATGAAAGATATAGTTGTCTGATACAGTCTCCAAATAATTTCCTTTCCATTGTTGTTCCTCTTAACGATTCAAATAGGGCAAACTAATATCTGCTAAAATTCAGAAGTCTTAAGAAGCCAAAGGGAGTTTTGGTGCTATAGTGCATAGAGAGTTGCGCTGCTAACCCCAAAGGCCTTGCTTCTCTGATGGTTCAGATCCACCAGCTTATCTAGGAAAGAAAGATAGGCAGTCTCCTCTCAGGTGATTATGCAATTTTTACAGCCTTTGAAACCTGCTGGAGGGTCAGCTACGAGTTAGACCAAATTTGACAGAAATGGGGGTGGACCAGTGGGCATGGAGATATGAAGCCAAATGATAGAAAATGATATAATTGCTTTTTTAAATCTTATTGGAAATACATCTCTCTGAGATTAGTCTTATGTAAGGTAGGAGTTACCCTTTCTCTTGTTCTCCAAGTCTTTCACTGGACTTCTCAGCACAAAGAAGAAATAAAGGATGTGTTTCTTTTTCAGATATCGGAGTGATAAATCTTCAAATGTTGATCCTGTCAGGATAACTATTATTTACCTTAAAAGAAAATCATCCAGTAGTTTGAGCCTCTCTTCAAGGAGACATCACAAACAAAAACTGAACATTTACTTGCTACTTTTTCCTTCTATTTGATAACTTCACTAGACTTGAAATGGAAATTCTAGTTTCACATCCTTCTTCTATGATACGCCAAGTGATAGAAGTAGAAGAATTATGTTGCTAGTGGCATAAAGAACTTTGCTGAGGTGCCATTAATTTGGCTCCAAATTATAGCCAGGATGAAACTGCCTGCTCTTGGAGTGGATATCTGTGCCTACGTCTGTTATTGCAGTTACTCTGAACCAGACACCTGGTGGGTGATGAGCAGCAGTTCTAAGCGTCCACCTGCAATGAGGACAATGCAGGATAAGGCAAGTTTTGTGTCTGTTCACAGAGTTGCTGAGCCCTAGTCTACTTGATGGCACGTAACAACAACAATGGCGTAGCAAATGTGGTAGAAAGGCACATCTCAAAGATGATCCAGTGTCCTTTCTTCAATTCTCAACCTTATCTTCCAGATATTTTTACTGAGCATTTTTATATCCAATACACTGTTTAAGGCACTGAAATTCAGCATATATATCATAAGTGTAAATAGACAGATAGTCACTGATATATATATATGCATGTTATGCATATGTATGCATGTTACACGTATGTATGCATATGTATATTCATGCATGTGCACTCACATATATGCATTCATATATTCACAGTTAAAGGATTTTATTATTAGAATACTTTGAGCTAGAAGAAACAGAAAACTCAAACCCAGATGAATGAAATAGTAAAGAAATGTATTACTTCATATGACATGAAATCCTAAAGTGAGGATATTTTCAGCTAATATTCAGTAACGGCCCAGGCTCCACTTGTTTATGGTTCTCTTGAATTAGCCTTCCTGTTGACCCTGTCCCCAGGCCAGCTGACCACGTGAACATAAGAGTGCCAGAGCAGTTCTGGACAGCGTAAGTGTAAGACAGTATCTAGAGGCAGAAAGAGGGCTTTCTCTTTACCGAACAGATTGAATGGATGCCAGTAGGTAACATGAACAGTCTAGTGGAAGAGATGGGATGTAATAGTGTGGGTTTTGCTTTATTAGAGTTTATGTGTGTATATATATAATCTGTAATGATGGGCTGAGGAAAAGTATTCCTCTCTCCTAGGATGAGAGCAAAAGGATAGAAACCTGAAAGATGCTGATCACCAAAGATTTCACTTTGGGGAAGAGGTGATTAATCCAGTTTGGTAGATGTTGAATATCAGATACTGTGTGACCTTCCATTGGAGAGCGCCAATAGACAGTAGGGTATTTACTTAGCTGACCCTGAAAAGTCTAGATGGAAGAAAAAGACTTGGGAGTTGTCAGGACAACTATAGTGTTGGAGACTTGGAGATTCTAGAGAGAAAACCAAATAGAACCAAAAATGAGACAAGGAAACACTGACACTTAAGGTTTGAGAGGAAGAGAAGCTGATGAATATAAAATAAAAGTCTTTTTATGTAATGAGTGTAGGATGGGTATAAGTCAGCTCAAAGTGGCGTTTAGTTATATTCACACATAGGATTTGGACAAAAGACTAGTAAAAAGTAGGAATATTGTAATACAAATTATTCATCCAGTAACAGGTACCCCTCCCCTAAAAGCTAACTAAACCGACATTCTGGAGCTATGACTGCCTGAACAGCCCTTCCACCCAAAGCAGAACTGGTAGGATTGAAATCCTATAAAATGACTCTCTCCTCTTTTTATTTGCAGGAGTGGTCACACATTACTTGCCTTCTGGTTTTCCCGCCAAGAGGGGAAACTAAATCGACAGCAGACTATTGAACTGGGACATCACATCCTCAAAGCACATATATTTAAGGTAATCAGAGAAACCAGAGGTTTTCACCCTCCACCTCCAGCACACTCTCTTTAATGCCACATATGTGAAGCTCCTCTTATTTCACTGTAGCCTCTGCTTTCTGAAATTACTTTGCTCCAAAATTTATCTGAAATGAAGGATTCATTCCTCCATGTGCCTTTGGAAAGAGCCATATTTGCCAGCTACCAATTTGAGGAGTGTCTAGACTTTCTGGAAAATGTATGTTTATAACCATTTAGGTAAGAAGCATACACACATGTGTATGTTTACATGATGTGTAATCTACAATTTCCTGAGGACAGTCATGTCACAATTGGTTGCAAGACTTCACAGTATCTTAAAAATTTTTAAGAGAAAACTCTAAATTGTCTTACGATCATTTTGTTGAAGATTTTAGTATCTCTGTTGCTACAGTGGCATAGTTGATAAGAGGTTCCACTGCCACCCCAAAAGCAGGAGATTCAAATCCAGCAGCTGCTTCATGGAAGAAAGATGGGCAGTCTCCTCCCATGCAGTTTACAACCTCTGAAAACATGCTAGAGGGTCAGCTGTGAGTCAGTTCCTACTCTACATCAATGAGTTTTTGAGTTAGGATTTTCAAACTGTTTATCTGGAACTAATTGTTTCTTCCCAGTGCTCGTCCTGCTTCAGAATTGAGAAACACAGGGGTCTTTGGGGGAGAGGGGGAACAAAACATTTTCTGCATCAGACGTCCCCCCAAAGGACACTACTTAAAATTACCTGTTTAACATGCTATTTCTACATTCATATTAATATATACTATTAATATATCTGTATGTATGTCAGAGCCAAGGGGGCAAAGCTATGAAAACTTCTTAATCATAACCAGACACCCTGAGGAAAAAAATATTTCTGGTCCTACAGCCTCAGAACTGTAGTCTCAGAGACATCAGTGTCAATCGGCATAACATGGTCCACAAAGATAATGTTCTGCATCCTCCTTTGGTGGGTGGTGACTCCAGTCTTAAAAGCAGGCAGCTCATCAAGGTGAAACTTTTAGTCTTTCCCTGTCTAGAATGAAGAAAAGCAAAAATTCATAGAAACAACTAATCTAAAGGACCAGTGGACCACAAGAACCTCAACCCCCATGACCCTGAAATGAGAGCTTGACGATACTCAGCTACCACACTGGCCACTCTAGAAGACCTTAACCCTGGGTAGAGTGGGTAGTGGAAGTGTGGAAGGAAACTCAAAACCATGAAAATGGCCAGGCTTACTGGCCTGTAGAGACTGATGGAACCCCCAAGATTGTGACCTCTAATGACCCTTCAGACTTGGAGCAGAACTCATCTCTGTGGCTCGCCTTTCAGCCACACAAATACCCAAAACCCAGGACTCACTGCCATCAAATCAGTTGTGACTCATGGCAAACCTTCACTGGATTCCTGAAACTAAATATTATGGAGGAGGCTGCCGTCTTTCTCTTATGAAACAGCTAGAAGACTCAAACCACCAGTCTTTTGATTTTCTGTTCAACATATACCAAATTATGATACCAGAGCTCCTCTGCCAAACAATAAGCAGGTGTATATGGTGAACAGTAAGACAATGGAGACCCTCACTCATTAAAACAGTCACCCATACAAGTTCAAAAGGGCAGCATTCCCCATGTGATAAAGCTCAGAAGGCAAGAAGTAGTAAGATAGAAGGGTTAGTGGAAATGAGAAGCATAAGAAGGAAGTGGGAAGAGTGTAGAAACTGTCAATATCAGAAAAGAGGGAGCAGAAAAAATGAAAATAAAGCCATACTCTTCATAAAGATGACATTAATAGCAACTCCTAGAACCGACCATATCCTTCTCAGTACTCAAGCCCACAGCCAGCAGAACCTATCAGATGAGCAGAACTGAAACTCCTTGCCTTGAATTACAATTGCTTTGTCTTAACTAATGACCTTACTCAGTGGGAGTAGAATGGAACTGAAATAACAAGACCAGGGTTTTCATTTTCATTTTAAACAGACTGAACAGTGCACTGCTATTTCCACCAACTCTGAGATCTTTAGCCTGCATTTAGATTGGGAGATAAATATTACCCTTCTAGCATCACCATCTGCCTAGGATCAGATGCAAAAATGAGACTGATGACTGCTTCTTTACCGTCCCATAAAGTAAGCACCGCAGTAATAGAGAAATGACCTGAAACTTTGTTTACCTAAATGTAACTAACGATCCAGTCATGGAGACCTGCATTTAAACCATACATGCCTCTTGTTAGATAGAGCTAGCCCATACTGACACAGACAACATGGTTACCTGAAATGAGACTGGCCCCATGTGTGACTCAGGCCATAAATACTATGGTGGGTAGCAAATGGTGATGACGTGACTGCTAGCTGGGGGTTCTTTTAAGTGCAGAATGCACCCTGGTGATAGTCTTGGGATGCTCCCGTTCTGCAACAGTACTTAGTCCTTGTTCTCTGATGATCATGAGGCAGAAAGACCTTATGGTTATAACTAATTCCATGTACAACTTCCAGTTGCCTGCAAAAATTCTATTTTTTTCAAATGAAGTTTAAATTTCCCTTGTTTTATCTTCGTCCCTAAAAAATTAAATATTATTAAATCATTACTCACTTAAAAATATTACAAAGTAATTTAAGTCCATAAGCCTAGATATTTGCTTTATTATGAAATCCTTCTAAGTCTTCAGTCTTAATGACTTCATTGAGATATGATTTTCATATCATAAAATTCACCCATATTAGATGTCTAAGGCAGTGATTTTAGTGTATTCAGAATTGTACAGCTATCAGTACACTCTAATTTTAGTGAATTATTTTGTTAGTTCATAGAATATTCCATATTCTTGCCATCACTATAATTGAAAGGTATCAGTTCTTATATGTTGTATGTTCATTGTTCAATTTATACATGCATAGGGAGCTCTGTTAGCCTAGAGGTAAGGAGCTGTGCTGCCAGCGCAAAAGCACACAGTTCAAATCCACCAGTTGCTCCTCAGGAGGAAAATGGGCAGTGAACTCCCATTTACTGCTTCTGAAAACCTACTGGAGAGTCAGCTATGAGTCAGTTCAGACTCAACAGCATATGATGACAGCAACAATAAACACACATATAAAGTGCTGCATATGAAAGTGCTCTTCCCTGAAGTCAGGCACACCTTAGTTCTCACAGTAACATCCTTGTCCTTTAGTACTTGAAGATGGTCCTTTGCAGCAGAGTTGCCCGATGCAATATGTTCATTTCTTGTCTGTTACTTCCCTAGGTATGATGTAAATCCAAGGAATATCTTTGTCACCTTCATTCTTTTTTCCATTTATCATGATATTTCTTTATTGGTCCATTGTGAGGATTTCTGTTTTCTTTATGTTAAAGTCTAATACAGATTGGAGGTAAAAGTTTTTAAACTTCATAATTAAGAGCTTCATTTTCTGCAGCCAAGCTTGTGCCATCAGCATAGTAAACGTAGTTATTTCAGAGTGTATTTTTCCAGTACAGTGAGTCTTGTGGTTTGATTTATCACAGTTTGGTTTGTTTTTTAGTTTTTGTGCAGTTCACCACAGTTTATCACACTCTTGAGTACATTAGTGAGGCCTTGTTGTAAGGTACCACTGAATGAGTTCCAGTTCATAGGAACTCTGTGTACAACAGAGTGAAGCACTGCTCAGTCCTTCGCCAACGACCTAATCACTGCTATTGTTTGAGTCAACTGTTGCAGCCACTGGTGAGGCCTACACATAGTCTAAGTTAGGAGACTAACGCCTTTCCTGATCTAGCAGGACCAAGAGAGAAGAAAACTTAGTTTTGAGGGGTTGGTTTTTTTTTTAAAAAAGCAACTACTAAGGCTCATGTGTCAGCATAAACAACTACAACTTCTTAGTGATGTGTTTGTGTCAGTTTTATATTTGCATATGAATTGATCAGCCTAATAATTTTATGGTTGATGTCCTTGTTATTGGAGTGCCACAAACAGTTAGGCACTCAGCTCAGTTTTTAAAAGGTCAAAATCATTGCTGTTGTGGTGGAACTGACTCATAACAGCTCAAAAAGGTTTCTAAGACCATAAATCACATGGGCGCAGAATGCTTGTCTTTCTCCCATGAAGCTTCTGGTACATAAGAACCTTCCGAGGAGCACAGCCTTTGAGTTTAACAATGCAACTCCATATGGACTATCCCACTAGAGCTCCCTAAAATTCAAACTCATTCAGTGGAGTCAGAATTAACTCATACCTAACCCTCCTTTGGGTTTCTGAGACTGTGAATCACACAGGAGGAGATTACCAGTCTTTCTCTTTTGGAGCCACTGGTAGATAGAAAGTGTGGCCTTTGATTTAGCAGCAAAACTACCTATAGACTACGCCTCCAGAGCCCAACCTTCTCACAGGGAAAAAAAATATGGATAATATGGAAATTCAGTAGCCATTTTCAATAATAAAGATGGACGTAAAAATTATCTTCTTGGGGTATGAGTTGCTAAAACTGGATTATATTTCTTCCTCCCAGCATTGTGTTATGTTTCTGGGAACTCAAGATCTGTTTTACAAGGAATTGTCCCATCCTTCCCCCGCCCCCCATCATTTTTAATTAGAAGAGAATGGAATGGGGGAGCTCTGGTGGCCTAGTGGCAAGAAGCTGTGCTGAAATCCCAGTGGTGCACAGTTCAAATCCACCAGATGCTCCACTGGAGAAGGAGGGGCAATTTCCTCCTGTGCCAAGTGAATTTGATTTGACCAAACACAAGAAAAAGGGGAAAATGAAAGATAATGGAGTAAAAGAATTGAATACAAGTAATCACTATCATTTTTCCTCATTGTGTCAAGCTGTGACTTTAATGTTGCAGAGACAAAGTCAAAGTCAACCACTATGGCAAAGCCATGTCAACTGGTACAAAATATAAAGTTACTCACTTCTGTAAATATATCCTTTAGGTGTGTAAAGATACAAGGATGATTACTGAACACAGTTGTAATAGTGAAGGAAAATAAACAACTACATAAATATCCATTTTTATGGGGCCACCTTGAATCAGAATTGACTCAATAGAAACTGAGTTGGTTGGTTGGTTGGTCGGTCGGTCGGTCGGTTGATAAACATGGAAAGGGCCAGTTTGAATAAATTATGAAAATATAATAGATTACTGTGTCTTGTTGAATACATCAGAAGTATGTTGTTGTTGTTATGTGCCGTCAAGTCACTTGCAACTCATAACAACCCTATGTACAACAGCCCTAAATCCTGCTTTGTCCTGTGCCAATCTCACTGTCTCCAACACACCAACCCCAGTTACCCCAGTCAGTGAATCAGTCCACCTCATAGAGGGTCTTCCCTTCATGCACTGTCCCTCCACCCTCCCAAGCATGATGTCCCTCTCAAGGACTGGTCCCTGCTTGCAGCATGTCCAAAGTATGTCAGACAAAGCTTCAGAATCCTTGCCTCCAAGGAGCAGCCTAGTTTAACTCTCTCGAGGATGAACCTCTTTGTTTTCTTAGCAGTCCATAGTGCATTCAGTAGTCTTCTCCAGCACCACAGCTCAAAGGCATCAATTCTCCTTCTGTCCTCCTTAGTCATTGTGCAACTCTCTGATGCATAACAAGTGATTACAAAGACAAGAATATCTATCATGGAAAATAGCCACATTACATTTTCCTTAAAGAATAAAAGTATCTGATTTCTCCATTTGTATATTTCAAGTGTTTTTTAATTCAGTGTACAGATTTAAATCTGTACATGGACCTATTTGGATCCCAGTTCAATCTAAAATTTCTATTTCTTTTTTTAATACAATCAAGTAAATCTAAATACTGTCTCTGCCACAATGTGTATTTTAGTAACTTAAATTTAAGACTAATAGCAGATGTATGCAAAAACAAATTGCATACAAATACAGCAGGAAAAAAAGAGGTGTTAATTTGTCAGTAATTACAAAGATGAAGCACTTTAAGTTCTCTTGTCCTAGTCAATGGATATACTTTACTGAGAATGGACATTGTTAGGATGAGAATCAACTCTTTATTTAGAAACAAAAACTCAAACATCACCAACTTAGTACTAAGGATACATTTAAGCTGGTTTAGGAATGTAATTGTCTCTATGTATTTTTTTTAGGGTCTGAGTAAAAAAGTTGGTGTGTCTTCCTCCATCCTCCAAGGTCTCTGGATCTCTTATAGCACAGAAGGTCTTTCCATGGCATTGGCATCTTTACGAAATCTCTACACTCCAAATATAAAGGTAAGTAACTATGAATTCCAGGTGGATTAATGGAATACCTGTGTAAAATATAGCTTGAAGGACCTTTCAGTAGTTCTTTAATTGGTCTTTGCTTTCCTTCAACTGACTCCTGTTGATTTATTAATAATTTCTTGTTGTTGTTGTTGATTGCCTTGAGTCGAGCACAGCTCATAGCAAACCTAGGAACAAAAGGCCTGAAGCCCCTCTGCAACTATCAACATTTATCAGAGTTCATAGAGTTTCCGGAGGCATATTGTTTAAGAAGTGGATGCCACTCCTGCTTCCAAACCTATCTTTTAGTATCTTTTTTTATTACTTTTTTTTTCTTTCAGTAAATTGAAGAATATTTATCATCCTTCTATACAAAACTGGTTCTTGGGAATAAATTGATCCCTGGTAAAATTTGTTTACTCAGAGCTTTTGTGACCAAGACTTTACTACACTATATGTGGCACAAGCTCTACTTACTGAGCAGGCCATGTAAGTGAGTCATTTAGGATCATCTTTTCCTAAGGTTATTGTCTACCATTGAGTCTGACCAACCCATACGACCCATAGCAAGTTTCAGAGGCAGTAACTCACACAGGAGTTGATTGCCCATCTTTCTCCTGCAGAGTGACTCGTGGATTCAAACCATGCACCACTAACCCATCAGTGTTCCCTTCTCTAAGGGCCAGATATTTAAAAAGGAGCAAATAAAGAATATAAAATAAAATAGTTACTACCTGCTACTGATGCCCAAGGAGGTAGGGAAGCTCTGTTACCATAGTAGGTAGGGAGTTGAGCTGCCAACCTAAGGGCAGCCACTTTGAACCTACCTGCTACTCTGTGGGAGAAGGACGGGCCATCTCTTACTGTGCAATTTATACTTTCCAAAGACCTGCTGGAGATTCAACTATTGAGTGTTCCAACTCGACAGCAAGGACTTTGACCTTTAAAAAAAAAAAAACCAACATGCTAGTAGGAGCTGTTGCAGAGCATTTCATCCCAAAAGCATGTGACTGATACTTGATTGATTACTTTCATTTCTTATTTCTAGGTCAGCCGATTGCTGATTTTGGGAGGTGCCAATATTAACTACCGAACCGAGGTTTTAAATAACGCTCCAATTCTATGTGTTCAGTCTCACCTCGGTTACACGGAAATGGTGGCCCTTCTGTTGGAATTTGGGGCCAACGTGGATGCCTCTTCTGAAAGTGGCCTAACTCCTCTGGGGTATGCTGCAGCAGCAGGGTACCTAAGTATTGTTGTGCTCCTGTGCAAGAAACGGGCCAAGGTAATGGCTTCCCAACTCTACTACTTCTCTCTTCTTTTTTTTTTTTTTTTTTGAGGTAGAGTCTTATCTCCCTGTTACCTCATGAGACTAAGAAGAATGTATCAAAGCCTATTAGAGTACAGTTGTTCTAGGGATTATGGATGCTACATACATCCCTGCTTCTACTCATTTCAGAACCACTCTTGCCAGTTGACACCATATCTGCATGCAATTCTAAAAGCTTTATCAGACATTTAGGAAATGTCACTAATCAACAGCCATAAAAATTTGCTGCTTAACCAAGAAATTTTCTACTGAGCTCAGAATAAACCTCTTTCCAACAAAGAGGAAGGAGAGGTGGGAGTCAGCAAGGGAGAGCTGAACTGATCGCTATCTGCAGACTCGAAGCCTTTCATGTGTAGAGAAGAACAACTGGCAGTGGGGGTTAGAACAGAGACTAGTCCCCATTATCCTGCTCTCTGAATGATTGCCTTAGACATATGGGAAGATAACCCTATATTTTTATATGCACACTGACCAAAGGCACCTAGTAATATTTCTGTTGATAACATTTAGATTCTCTAAAAAGATTTCCAGTTGACACAGTCTGCACAGTGAGTTTGAGCATGTTGGATGCTGTAAGGACAGCACAGAATAGGACAAGGTTCAGATCTGTTTTTCATAGATCTCTAGGATCTCAATTCGATGATACCTAAAACCAACAAAAATATTTCCAGAATGTTTGTTTATGGTACCTCAAGAACCACTGGTACAAAAAACTTAATTTCTAAAGTATTGGTGAAAAAAAAATGCTACTCTCACAAATGTAGATCTCTGGAGAAGATTATAGCCTCATGATACTTTGTTTCATTCTTGATAATAAATCACGAATGGTGGTACACTTGGAGGGAAATGGGAGTAATATCTAAGATCTCATTCTAAGTTGTATCCAGTTGTCTTACTCGAAAATAAAAAGAGACTCCTAAGACTTATTTGGGAACTGTAATCTGGGATTTCCACTGAAATCTCAGAGCTTTAAGAGGTTTACTTTGACACAGTGATAATCTCCATAAAATACCACATTCATTTGAATGACACCTAATTGCAGCTGATATCCACACCTGATATCCACACCTTACACCGAAGCCATTATTTTATTCAAAGCAAACAGGTAGTATGTTTATTAAAAAGAATAGAATACCATTTCAAATCATTTCTACTTTTCTCAAGAATCTTTTTTTAATTTTTTTATTTTAGTCCTTCTCTTGCTTAATTTACAGCATTTAACTTTATTACCTTTTTTTTTAATTAAATTTTATTAGTTTTAATGAACATTTACAGGGATTTTGGGTTTTCATTACTTCATTGCTGCACCATTCTCTCTACCCTCCTCCCCAGTTTGTTCTTCTTCCCCGCCATCCGAATGTCTGTTTTAATTGTC